AAGATGGACTACACGGGGCTGATTCATAGATGCTGTGGGTGGGTGCCCTGAGAACACTTTGGTTTGGTAGCTATGTATGTCTCCAGCATTGCCTAACTCAACCCCCACACAGCCTACCTGGAGTCCCTGACCCTGCACAGAGGGAAGTAGAGGGGACGTGGCTTCCAGCGTGGAACCTTGTCTTCTTCAGTTTCCCTTAGTTTGCCCAGAATATGCTGAATCCCATAAATGCAGCCCTTTGCCTATATGGAATAGGATTTTCTTAAAAGACTGATTTTAAAAAGCAACCATAGGGTGTTTGGGCTCCACTTCGTGTGGCACGTTGGAGCACAGATTCTCCAAACTGATAAACTGAGAAGAAAAAGGGCTGTACAATGCAATGTTGTAAAGTAAAATGTTATGTCGTCATTTTAATTCATTACAGCTTTCAAAAAATCTTTAAAAATATTTGTGTATCTACTGTTCTGAGGAAGGACTATGCCTGGGGCAGTCATATTTCTAATGCTAACATGAAGCTTAAACTACTTCCTACCTTGACCATGTTAACCCCCCAACCCCCCTACCCACCCACCCCGCAAGGAAACCCTTCACTTCACTCAAAGATTTTACCAACAAATGTAACCTAAAGCCTTCTTTTGCCTTTGTAACAGACACCCTGCCTATTGTGTGTGGCAGGATGGGTTCCTGACCCTCCCAAAGAAATGGAGACACCTGTCGGAGGTGGAAGCATGGACGCTTCCTACCCCTCTCCCAGTGCAGGTGCAGCTTTTCAGAGTGCTGGGCTCCTTCCATGGCTCTCTCTTAGGGAAATAGTGACCCCTTGTGGTAAATATCAGAATGAATACAAACCTGTGTAGGAGTCTCACCGGTCATTCAAAGAGATCAGGATTGTGTTGGAACTACCCAGAGGGTTTTAGGAAATATCATATTAGTGGAGACAATCTTCCAGAAACCTAGTTCAAGGCAGGAGGTCCCTCAGAAAATGGTGCCCATTTTGAAGACCCTGAAGGTTTGGGCAGTCCCCAGGGCTGAATGAAGCCCATACGGCCCACCACCTTCCAGAGAGGGATGAGGAAGCTCCCTGGTAAGGGTGACAGTGCTCCACACAGGTATTTTCTAAATACCTTCCATGTGTCTCAGGTGCGCTGGTGGATGCAGAAGTCTGCATTCACAATGATACCTACTTACACAGGTTCAGCCTTGTCTTCATAATGTAAAAATGTGTCTATGTTTTCTTTCTCCAACTCTAACATGAATTCCTAGCAAGTAGCACAGAGACTGGCCCATCAAGGTGCTGAATGATTGATGCCTCTTCAGAGGGACACTAGAGGGAATCTGGCTTGCTTCTCCCTTGGGTTGGCTTATCTTCTTGCCTACCAGATTACTTGAGCCAAGTGATAAACTTAGAAATAAGCAACTTTCAGTCCTGCCCACCAGCCACCAAAATTGTTGACCTTACAAACTGCCCACCCCTCCTCACACTGAAACCAACCCCCCGTCTGCAGCAGTACATCTGCTTTGCCGGGGCTCTGAACCCATGAGTGAGCCAGATGGTGATGCTGTCTGGTTCTGTGTTGACCTCAT